TATATATATATATATATATATGTATCATAAAATGATGCGCGTAATCCAGCATAAAAGACTACCTTTAAATATACTGTTGAGACCGGACGTGAGGAGGAGACAAATAGCGCAAATACACAACTCGAGGTTTAATGCTAACAAAAGTATTTAATGATAAGATTCCACGTGCCGAATGATACATGTGCTATGCAAGCCGGTTAGCGAACAAGACTGATTGACTGACTAGCTAACGCGGCATGTGGCACGTCGCGACATCCCTCGGCGGAAGGGCCGAGGTACCCAACATGTTCCTCCTCAAGAAAGTCACCCTTGAGCGTAACTTTTGGCTGATGGGTTCAAGACGAGTCTTCTAGGGGCCACTCGGTCTCGGACGGGCCTACCGGTTGATTTGCCGAAGGCCCCGGGCCTTGGTCGGCTGTAGCTGAAGCCATAGCAGGTGCTACTGACGAGTGATCCGACTCTGAATCTCACTGGAGCTTGTGGCGGTTGATAGAATATCCAACCGTCGTCTTGATCCTTGGGGGGCTCAGAAGGGAGGGACCCTCCTTTCCAGATGTGATTGATATGACGATCGATTATCCTGCCGTCATCGAGACGTACGGTGTAGTTGGTATTTTGAGATGGGCTCGATGATGGTACCTTGTTCCCTTTTATCCTTGCGGATTAGTACCACCACTGGGTCTCCGGCAGTTAAGTGACGTGGTCGGGTACCATGATGTTTCGAAAATTGTCTCGTCATGGCCTGTTGTTTAGGTGAGGGTTCCGCCGGAGCTGTAACTAGAGTGTTCTGTCTCGGGAACCACTTGGTAAACGGGGAGTTCATGCGACGTCCAAAGAAAAAATCAGCTGGAGCTTTACTCTCGAATGCAGTTGAGCAGGACGTGTAGCGGTAACTGTAAAGAAAGTCATACAGTTGCTGTTTCCAGTCTGATGGATTTTTAGCGATTGCTCTTTTAATAGTGTCCACCATCCTCTCGGCTTGACCGTTCGACTGTGGATGATTGACTAGAGATAATAAATGGGAGATCTGCATGTCTTTGCAGAGAGCTGCGAAGGTTTCAGAGGTGAACTGAGTTCCGTGGTCCGTGACCAGGATGTCTGGAGGACCGTACCTGCAAAAGAAATCTCGACAAATGTCAGCGGTTCGATTAGCTGAAATTGTAGGCGTGATGGCGACGTCGATGAATTTAGAAAAGGCGTCCACGAAAATAAGAAGGTACTGCCCGTCGATTGGGCCAGCGTAATTTAAATGTACACGTTCCATGGGGCGTGTGGGTGTAGGCCATGGACTTAGTGGTACCTTTACTGGAAGTTTTTGATTCACAGCGCAAGGATCGCACTGGTGAATAAGGCGTTCAATTTCGACTGCCATTTTCGGCCAGTATACGTATTCTCGAGCGAGCTGTTTGGTTCTGCGAATCCCTGGGTGACCTTTGTGAAGAATGTCTAAGATTAACGGTCTGAGTTTCTCAGGGATGACAATTCTATCACCGAGGAGTAGCGTGTCGTCGACGATGCTTAAGTCTTCCGCTCGTTTCTTGTAAGGTTCCACATCCGGACTTACTTTGGTTTTCCAACCTTGTTTGATAGCTAGAAAAACAGAGCGAAGCGTGGGACACTCCTTGGAAGCTAGCTTGAGTTTATCCCAAAGTTCTTTATCGAAGAAGTCGACTGACAAATTTTTTATTTGGAGAAGTTCCGATTCGACATCTTGGATGCGAGCTACTTGTAGTTCTTCTGCATTATCATGACGGAAGTTATCGATTAAGCGAGATAGGGCGTCCGCTTGGCCAAAATCTTGCGTATGGATGTTTTCAATCTTGAAGTCATAGCCTAGTAGACGTATTGCCCAACGCTTGAGTCGCGCTGCTGTTGTCGGTTTGAGTCCCTTAGAGTTATCTGTCTGAAGTAATGCCACGAGGGGTTTGTGGTCGGTTTGCAATATAAATTTTCTGCCCCAAACAAACTTGTGGAACCGTTCGACGGCAGTGACGAGTGCGAGCGCTTCCTTTTCCAGCTGGGAGTAATTCCGCTGGGCGTCAGTGAGACTGTGGGCCATATGGAAAACAGCTCGTTCATGGCCGTTAGAATCACGTTGCAAGAGGACGGCGCCAATACCGGTAGCACAAGCGTCCGCAGCAACCACCAGAGTTTTCGAAGGATCCTAGTGCTCCAGTAAAAGAGGGCTTAGCATAACTTTCTTGATTTGTTCGAATGCCAAGTCGTGAGGTTGATTCCAAGTCCAAGGACAATTTTTGCGAGTAAGTTCCTGTAGCGAATGTTTTAACTGGTGTAGGTGAGGGATAAATTTCCCATAGTGGTTCACCATACCTAAGAAGCTCTGCACCTCTGAGACGGTGGTAGGTTTTGGCATGTTAGTAATTGCACTCGTGGCTTCTAGGTCGGCTGAGATGCCGTGTGCGTTTATGATCCAACCTAGATATTTAATTTCTTTCAAGGCAAAACGGCATTTCTCGGCTTTGAATCTCCATCCACGATCTTGCAGGCGTTGTAGGGTATCATGCAAGCGAGCATCGTGTTCCTGTTGAGAAGAGCCTAGTACAACAATGTCATCCAAATATGCGTACACTCCCGGAAGATTGGCGAGTGTGAGGTCCATAGCCTGTTGAAAGATAGCTGGTGCAGTTTTGATTCCGAAAGGTAGACGCTTGAATCTGAAAAGTCCTTTCGGTATTGTAATCGTAGTAATCTCTCGATAAGCTTCGTTGATTTTCAATTGGAAAAAAGCGTCGCTGAGATCCAGTAGACTAAAAAAACAACTGCCATTCAGTTTTGACATAATGTTCTCTACCGTAGGCAGCGGGTGTTTGTTATCCAAAATCGCATTATTAACTCCTGTTGAAAAATCGACACACAGGCGGAGTTTTCCGTCTCTTTTTTTCGCGATTACGATCGGTGATGACCAGTTCAAAGTTTCTACGCGTTCTAGAATACCGTTCGAAACAAGACGCGACAGTTCCTCCGCGAGTAAGTCTTCCATGGCGAAAGGTATCGGGTGGCATTGCCTTTGTACCGAACGAGCGTCACTTACAAGATCGAATTTAGCTTTGAAATCACGGCACGTTCCCAATTCTTGTGCGAAAATTTTCGGAAAACGAAGGAGGACGTTGTCAAGATATGCGTCGTGAGCTGACGCGTCTTCGCGATTAACCGCACTTGGAGAGAGCGTAGATTGTACGCGAAGTGTAGTCGAGGTAGATACATTCTCAGCTACTGATGATACACAGACGTTTTGTGTACTTTGTTGCAATTTTGCTAACGGCACGGACCACAAATTAAGGCTATCAATAGCGTCAAGCCCGAAAAGATTTACATTATCACACGATGCGACGTTAATGTAAATATTGCCCGTGCGGTCAAGAGCATGAATTGTACAGTAAAATCTACCAATAACGTCAAGCTTATTACCGCCGGCGTGTTCGACGGTGTCGCTCGAAATGAGTTTTGGAGAACCGATTCGGATCCAATCTTTCTTACCCATAATAGTAATATCTGACCCCGTGTCATATTGGAGAGTCACGGAGTTACCGAGCACAAACGCTGTCACATATTGCCGTCGACGCTTACCAATCGCGGAGAGCGAGTAGATTTTGACGCTAGTGGATTTAGCGGCAGTTTGGCTATTCGATTGTTCGGCACTCGCGATATTATTTGATTGTTCTATATTATTCGATTGTTGTGCACTAGAGCGACAGACTTTCGCGATGTGCCCCTTAATCGAGCACTTATGGCAGATCGCGTCACGGAATGTGCACTTTATACGCGCGTGCGCACCGCCACAACCGTTACACTTTGCGTTTGCGACGAGAGATTTGTTACGAACGTTCGGATCTAATTTCCGTGTTGAGGCGTTTTTCTTCTTGGAGAGAGAAACTTTTTGAATAAGATATTTCGTAGGATTTTCCAGCGTTTTTAAGCCAGAAGAAACATTTAAGTGTGCCTCGAGTTCTGCGACGACGTCCTTGAAAGAGGCATCTTGGTTTTCTTCGATCACTCGAAGAGCGATTTTTTTTAACTCGTCGTTATCATTAGAGTAGCAAAATGATTGCAACAGTAAAAGGATACGGAGGCTATCGTCCGTTAATTTTGATCGATCAAAGTCGGCCGCATGGCGATTAATGCGGTCGAGATGTTCCATAATCGGAGTTGCTTTGTCGTAACGGTAATTTAGGATTTCTATACGACGACGAGTGATGGGAACTTTATCGCGAAAAAGTTCTTTGAGCGTATTAATGAGGTCGACTTGAGGCATACTCGTCGGATTCGTAGGCGCGACGTGATCCACTAACCTGTCGAACTCCGTTTTGTCCGTTTCGACCGAGCTTGTCGAGAACCAGACGTGTTTGCATCTGAGGTGGCAGGCATGCCGCTTCTGTAACCAACGTGTACTCGTAACGCAGCAGCCATTTTGAGAAAGGCTTTATTTCGTCGCCGAAGCCGTACTGATATTTCTCTACGCGAGCACTTAGATGATTGTAAGTCTCCGTGAGAGAAAGAGGATTGTCAGACGATGACGCTTCTCGGTTGCCTTTATTCTGTGCGATTTGGAGCTGGAGAAGGCTGTTAATGGCGGCCGTGAGAGCTTCGATCCGTCCGTCTGTGTCCGGCATCCTTGGATACTTTGATTGTTCTCCCAGATACTTAAGAGGTCGGAAAAACTCCGCAGCGCCAGTTGTTGAGACCGGACGTGAGAAGGAGACGGATAGCGCAAATACACAACTCGAAGTTTAATGCTAACAAAGGTATTTAATGATAAGATTCCACGTGCCGAATGATACATGTGCTATGCAAGCCAACCGGCGAACAAGACTAACTGACTGATTAGCTGACTGACTAGCTAACGCGGCATGTAGCACGTCCCGACATCCCTCGGCGGAAGGGCCGAGGTACCCAACATATACATATATTTAAAGTATTGTTTTAAAATAAGTTATTAAAAATATTTAAATTATTTATTTCTGTTAAAAATAAAAACGTTTTTCGTGTTTCTTGTCACATCATATAATTCTCATTTTATGCATCAAAAATAGAATTTTATACATTAAAAGCAGAATCCATTGAACATTTATCATGCATTATATGATGTAAAAAATTCCATTTGTAAAGTTAATTGAGAATTTTATGTGCATCGGAGCATACGTAGGCTACTGGAAAAGTTTCTGCAAACGATATGAAAAAAAAATGTAAAATTCGGTAAAAATGCAATTATTTGCATGTTGTTTTTTTATATCGTTTACAGAAACTTTTTCAGCAGCTTACATATATGAATTGCTTAAGCTGCAATATATATTTTAATGTTATTAATTGCTATGGTGCAGAAAACAAGTTGCTATATAAGTACATGTGCAAAATGTAACAGAGCTTTTGGAGAAAATGATAATCGTCTCTCATAATATGCATATGTAGCATTTAATAAATATAATGTAAAATATATAATATAAATTATTTTACCCAAGAAAACATTTTCGTTCTTCATCAATATAATATCAATATAATATTTTCTTCCAAGAATATATAATCATATAGATTCTGTATTCTTTCCTTTTTTATATTCCTCTTTTATATCCGCGTACATATTCGGTTCTTTTTTTCATATTCATGTATGCCGTATCTTCTATTTGGTATAAATGATGCACACACAGTCTTTAAGTTTATTTGAGCTTTATGGTAGCATGCTGATACACGCGGTTTCTGTCTCGCAGCCATTTACAGAATAATAACCGCGCGTAACGCTCTAGCAGGGAGGGGAAACACATGCCCGTCGCTAGAGTTGATCCTCAGTTACCGCGAGCGGGAGTTTCATATACTACATTTCCTCCCTCACTACGAGAAGAGTCACGACCGCAGGTGGAGTGTGAAACCGAGAGGAACGACAATTGGGTTCTTTCCTCTTATGATGGCTCAAATCTATCGGGTGGTCGGCGTTGTCGCTGGGAGCGGCGTGGCGTTGGTGCTGCTATGGTCACAAGCGGGTGAGCCTGCTCTGATGGGCCGCTTGGAGGAGATGTCGTGGATCCGATTGTTCACCGGCGTCCCACTGTTTTTCCGATTTCTCCGTAATAGCGAGTGCGTCGAGGTTGGTGTGTCGCTTCTCTGCTCGGGCCTGAAGGTTGAGTCGGCTCGAGGTGTTCGCCAGTCTTTTGATCCATCTGGCGACTGCAAATTTGATCTACATGTCTTTTAAATCGTTGTCCAGCATACTGAATCTCGTAGTGGAGGTCTCTCACACGAGTAACTATTACACCAGGCAACCAACGATCCATGCGAGGGTTACCTGAAATGAAATAAACGGTTTGAGAAGGTTCAAAGATTCGAAAGGTCGGAACCGAGAATCTGCTTGTTCAGTGGCCTCTTTCACATGAAGTCGCACTAGGTCCAGTCTCGTGCGGAGATTTCGCCCTAGGAATAGTACTGCCGGTGATTGGTTGGTGGTCGCGTGTGGCACCTTGCGGTACTGGCGTAGAAACTCATTAAGATCTCGTTGCAATGACTCCTTGGTGGCAGCCATCGCTTTGAGTGTGTCTTTCACCGTTTGCACGTAGTGCTCAGCTTGTCCATTAGTAGCCGGATGGTACGGAGCCGTTAACTTGTGATATTTGACTCCACTTCTTTGAAGGAATTCCTTGAACTCCACTGAGGTGAACTGTATGCCATTGTCTGTCACAACAGTTGCTGGAGCGCCATAAGCCGTGAACAAGTCATCCAACAACCTAATCGTTGCTGCTGATGTGGTGGAATTTGTAACCTTAACTTCCAGCCACTTGCTATAGGCGTCCACGACGATAAGCAACATCGTGTCCGCTACTGGCCCTGCATAATCGATATGAATCCTTTCCCAAGGACCTTTCGGATACTCCCAATGATGCTCACGATACTTGGGTGGTGCATGTGCATGCTTCCCACATTCTGTGCACGCCTTAGCGGTACTTTCGATTTCTGCATCGATGCCTGGCCAAAAAACAGGAGATCGTGCCAAGCCTTTCATTTTTACTATCCCGATATGAGCTGCATGAAGATCTGCCAGGATTGCTGGCCGCAGGCATGGAAGTATAACGACACGATGCTCTAAAAGCAGGCAATCTCCCGAGAGCGTGTAGTTTGTCTCTGGGGCCTTATAACCAAACTGGGCAAGGCATTGCCCTTTTTCTAGGAGCTGGATCATTTTATTCAAGTGTGGATCCTTGCGTGTCTCGCTTGCAATGTGCTCCGCTCGTACCGGTAATTGCTTGATTTGATTTATGACGAAGTGATCAAAACTATCATGTTGTAGTAATTCTTCTTCTCCCTTGTCGAAATTCTCCGTTGCAGGTAGAGGTAATTGAGAACAATAATCTGCATTTGCGTTGGCCTTCCTTGGTTTGAATTTGATGTCAAAATCAAAATGAGATAGGTAGTCTGAATAGTTAGCCATTCGACTAATGCAAAGTACAGGAAGGGATTTTTGTGGATGTAAAATCTGCGTGAGCGGCTTGTGGTCTGTTACCAATGTAAAGTGACGTGCGTAGACGTAATGGAAGAACTTTTTAATGGCCCATACTATGGCAAGTGCCTCTTTGTCTATCTGCGGATAGCGCTGTTCTGTAGGTGAAAGTGTGCGGCTTGCATATGCAATTGACCGTTCGGACTTATTAGGCAACCAATGCGCGAGGACTGCCCCTAGACCCGTTTTACTGGCATCCACTGCTAATAGTAATGGTAATTGCGGGTCGTATGGCATAAATACCTGGGGTGATATCAGTGCATCTCTAATATCTATATATGCTTCCTCCGCCGCTGACGTCCATTTTAATGGTTGCGTAAGTAGTAGATCTCGGAGTGGTCGACTCCTGGTAGCGAGATCTGGGATAAACGAACCGTAATATGTTGCTTTACCTAGAAACAATTGAAGTTCTTCTGCAATAGAGGGTTTCGGTGCATTTTTAATCGCTTCAATGTGCTTGTTAGATTTATGCACTCCCTGTGCGTCAATTTGGTGTCCTAGAAACTCCACAGATGTGGTACCGAATACGCACTTCTTGTGGTTTAATTTCAAACCGTTGATTCTCAAACGCTGTAGTACTGCATCCACTGATGATAACAGGCTATCAAAATTATCTGCGAATACTAATATATCATCAAAGAAGTTTAGTACACTCGGGATGTCTTGCAGAATTAATTCCATTCGCCGCTGCCAGATTGCAGGGATATTGGCGGCGCCATAAACTGCGCGTGTTGGTCGGACTAGTCCATGAGTTGGAGTGTTGAGTGTCAAAGCATGACTGAACTCTACGTCGACTGACAGATGAGTATACGCGTCTGTTATATCCAGATGGCAGAATAGTTTCGCGTTTTTCATCTTGTTAAACAGATATTCCGCTCGTGGAATCGGATGTTCGTCTATTACAATACGCGGATTTAACGTGGATTTATAGTTACCCGTAATTCGTAGCTTTCCATTGTCTTTCATTACTGTATGTGTAGTTGAAGCCCATTCGGAATGCTCCACTCTCTCATAAAATCCTGATGCCAATTTTGCATCGATCTCTTTGGCATAAGCATCTCTGAGCGCCAAAGGTACTTCCCGTGCGCGACAGAAGACGGGGGATAAAATGAACTGTCTGGTTTAAAACTGGAATCGGTGGTCCCGATAGTTTCCCTGGTATAGCGCTGAATACATCCTCGTAGCTTACCAGAAGCTCGTTCAGGCGATTCTTCTGTTCTGCGTGTAGATCTGCAGTCGTTGAAGTTATTGCGTGAATGTTGTCGGACGTCCCAAAAAGTTCGCAGAATTTTATCTCATAAAATGTGTGAAGTGCGAAATCCACTCTCGACCAAAGAGAGGATCGAAGTCTCCATCGATAATATAGAGGTTAAGTTTCCGGGAGGTCGAGCTTCCACATTGACACCTCCACCAGGATGCGTCCAATACAATTGACTTGATGGTCCGTGTAACTTGCAAAACGTCTGTCTGTCCTAAAAAGCTTACAGCGGGGTTTGATTAGCGATAATGTCTGTTTACTTATAATGCCACAAGGAGCGCCTGTGTTTAGTTCCATCTCCAGATTTCGACCGTTAATTTGCACAGTGAGCATGTGCTTGGATGACGAATACAATCCGTTAATTTTAAAAATTTTATCCAATCGTTGTATTACATCTATT